TCCCCTTCACCTCCCCCCCTCTCTTCTCCTTCCCCAAGTACCCAGTGCCCCCAGGCGTTTCCGAGTCCGGCAGCCCAACCTGCAGACAATCAACCTGGAGTGGGACCATCCAGAGCACCCCAATGGGATCCTCACTGGATATTCTCTCAGATATTTGGCCTGTACGTTTGCTCTGCTTTCTCTTGATAACCTGGAGATCAGAAACCCACTTTCCCTAAGGAACAGGGGAGCCTGTGGTGTAGAGGGCATTGCCAGGAGACAGTTCCCCTTAGGATTAGGGGAGGCAGATGAGACCCAGTCCCTGCTTTCCTAACAAGTCCTCCTGCACGGAGCTTCTAGTCGGCCCCATGAGACAAAGGGAGCTTCTGGTCTAATAAGGGGTCCAGCCCCAGCCCTCAGGGGTCTTATAGTCTCCAACACCTACAAGTCTAGGAGAAGGAGTTCCTCATCTGACAGAACATCCATCCAGGGGGGAGACAGTACCTGCCCAGGAACCCGCCCAACACTCAGGGCCACCTTAGCAAGGAGTCGGTTTCAGGAAGGCAGCTGTATGTAGAATTTGGAGCCTGGGTTGGGAAGACCTCACCTTGGGAGTTCAGTGTCACCATGCAGGGACAGGAGTGTCATTACATTTGAGAACATTAAGCCCTCTAAAGTAGGTGGTGGTGTACCTCCTTGGGAAGCTCCAGGGGCTGCGTATTGTGTTAACAGTTTTAATATGTTGTATGCTTGAATGCTGCTCCGGATCGATCTCTTGAGGTACAGAGAACAGGAGGCATTAACCACCAAAAGCTCTAGTGGGTTTGCCCTAGTTCTGTTTGAAAGGAAGAAAGAAACTCCTAAGTTTTGTCCTTGTTGAAAAGGCTTGGGGATTATAAACTGAGTCTTTCAGAATCAGCCACATGACTTCGCAGTGAGCTAGAGATAACAAGATGAGTGAAAAAGTATTGACCCTGGCGTGTCATCAAACAGGCAGAAAGGAGTTCTTGCCCTGCACACTGCCTTTGAACCAAATCTCCCATCGCCCGAGTCCTCAGGTGCACACACGGGGCAGGGTCCACCGTCTCCCTTTCCAGCAGAGTGGGGAAGGTTTGCTCCTTCCAGCTGCAGATTGTATAACCCATCGGGGTCGGCATCGCCACAGTTCAACTCCACTTACCTCTCTCTCCCCAGTTAATGGAACCAAAGTAGGGAAGCAGATGGTGGAGAACTTCTCTCCCAATCAGACCAAGTTCACGGTGCAAAGAGCAGACCCTGTGTCACGCTACCGCTTCACCCTGAGCGCCAGGACGCAGGTGGGCTCTGGGGAAGCAGTCACGGAGGAGTCGCCGGCACCCCCAAATGAAGGTAGGTGCACTGTGGCAGCCTCAGGGATGACCAGGCCCAGCTAATCAGATGCCAGAGAAACCCTCTGCCCGGCCTCCCGGGACAGAGAGGAAATGAGGCTGCAGGTCCTTTGGCCCTTGAAGCAGAGAGCCCGCCTCGTATGCTGACAGGTAGGTTTCGGCGATGTCTGGACAACTCAGATCTCCTCAGACCTGTCATCAGACCTGGGTCCCCACACTACCTTGACTTGCTCAGCCACTTAACATCTGTCATCTTTCCCTCTGGTGGGGGGTACAGAAGAGAACCTGAGTCCTGAGCAGAGATGAGGAGAGGAGGGGAAGTGTGTTGGAAGCACATATGCTAATGAACTCCAAGGAATAGTGAAAGTGCTCACCTGATGAGGGAGCATGAAGGCTCCATGGGAGCCCCATGAGGGCTCTGGGGACACCCCTATTTCCCCCAAGGGCATGTGGGGCCAAGGAGGCCAAGGAAGCCTTGACTGAGGCCACCTGCCTGGATCGTGAGCAGATGTAGTCCCTCCTTGCGGCCTGAACTTAGTGAGTTGTCAGGCTGTGGAGAGGAAGGAGAGTTGGGAAACAGCCATTTGCCAAACTAGCTTCAGAGAGAGCAAATGGCCTCATCTCCTGGGTCCCGGCATCTTCCAGGAGCTTAGCATCCTCACTGGAGCTGCACCTGCCTGAGAACTCCACTAGAGGGGGCTCCGGGCCCACCTGCACATGCTGACTGATACCCAGGAGCTTCTTCAGGGCTGTGACTGTAGAAGCTTTGATATCAGTGATCCCCTATGAAAGGGGGAATCCCACTGCCTCTCCGGGGGTACGGTGGTCTATTCAAAAGCCATTTCTTGAGCACCCACAATGTGAGGTGCAGGACACTGTGCCAGAAATAGGGGGTGATAGACAATAAGCGCACAGCCTAGAAGGGGAGAATCCACAAGAGCGTCCAGTCGCCGTTTAGCATGAGGAATGTTATGTGTAGATGAGCAAGGTGTGTGGTTGTGCAGGGGCTGGGGGATTGAGGCTGAAAGGGAAGACTTCAAGGAAGAGGTGATGAGAGTGGGGATCCGTGAAGCTGGCAGGAGATTATCGTGTCCCGTGCTTTCTCCAGAAGGCTGAGGTTCAGCAGTCCGGTCCTGGCCCAGATCAGCCCTCCTGAGAACGACCCCCACCCAGGAGAGCATTGGTGCTTCATTCCCCAGGGCTGCCAGGCCCCGCTGCTTCTGCTGCCTTACCCTTACCCTGGCTCCCAGTTTAGCTTCCTAGGCAGCCCTGCATCCCTTTCCAGCCCCTGCTCCCCTCGCCAGTGGGCCAGCACCGGGGTGGGGGTGGGGGTGGAAGTGGGGGGCAGGAGCTGGAGAAAGGCATATGGTCCTTTCTGTGGTCCTCTCTTGTCTTGTAAACCAGGAGTGAGCCACACAATAATCTCCCCTCCTAGTTTGGCCTTCCAACCCCATTGGGTGGTTTATTAGGGCTGGGGGACTTTGGGTAAGTGCTTGATACATACCTATTACTAAAGGCATGGCCAGGCCAGAGATGATGCACTTTCTTGATTACTTAACTCTAAGGAGATACATAAAGAAAGCCTCTTCTCCCTCCTCCTGTCCACCCCAGGATAGACATCAGATAAAAATGCATTGTCCAGCCCCAATGACCACCAAGGGAAAGTTCTGCAGCTCCCGGCAACAAGAGGACAAAGGCTTTCTTCTCAACTTCGGGATTTATAGCAAATTCAGGAATTCCTTTTAGGGCTCAGTCCACAGTTGGGTTTCTTATTTCATAAAGTACAACTGGTGGGAAAGAACGGAGGTTGCAGAGCAGGACAGGCGCCTCAGGGCTGTGGTCTGTCATCGTTCCCAGGCCGAGGTAGTGTAGGGAGGGTTCGGGCAAATACGCTCCCCCTCCTCCCATCCACCCCAGCACTATCCAACATCTACCCCCAAAGGTACCGGAACCATTCTTTTGTCTGGGCTGGTGTCCTCCTGCACCACCTATACCTTATGCCCTCAATTCCTGGCATCTTGGAGGATCACCCAGCCTGCTTCATAAAGGTCAGCCCAGCCAGGGCAGGACATCATCCTGGTGAAAGACCTAGGATCACAGCACTCTAGGGGGACTGTGCCAGCTGCCACCTCTTAGATGAGAGTCCTTGAGTAGAAGTAGAGTCAGAGTGTATTAGAAAAGTCTCCAAGACCCAGATGGAACATTTTATATAGAGACGCACCAGACCCCAGTGGAGTCGAACAAGAGCCCTGAACACTAGTTGGCATCCTCAGGGCGGTGGCCAGCACCCGACCACACTGTCCGGTCAGGTTTGCACCAGAGCCCCCTCTGTCTGCTTGTCGTGTGTTTCACCTGTATTCTGTTTTCTCTTCCCTCTCGTATCCTTTCTCCCTCTCTGGCCATCTTGGGCGCTGTGTTCTGAAGCTACTCCAACCGCAGGTACCGTACCAGCAGCGGAGGTAATGGGCATGGCATGGGACGATGCAGGCGGAGCCCAGCCAAGGCAGAGGAGGGAGAGGCTCGGGAGAAAGCATGCGCCAGACTCACCCTTTCAGTGGTTGGGCAGCCAGACTGTCAAGGATGTGTGCAGAGAGTGGGACCAGAGGCAAACACACCCTCCTCCCCCCACTTCCTATTTGCACCCCATTGAGGGGGAGGATGACTTAGAAGGGACCCCACACGCATGGGCTCCAGACCTGTTCTCTGGAGCCAGAGCTTTCTCTGAACCCGGGTGATTACTTCCTTGAACCGCCTGGGGCCTTGCCTGGGTTTGACTGACATCTCGGCACAGAGAGAGGGTCAGCAGCCTTCGGGTGGCCGGCTGTGCCCCGAGAAGGAATGCTGCACTGCGAGTGGGCACAGCTGGGTCCTGTCCCCCGGCTAGTCCGCCAGGCCCTGGAAGGGTGACCTGTGGGTGAGCACACTGTGCATGCTGGCCTTGCATGCTGCATGGGGGCCCGGCACCAGCTCTGCCACCTCCCTTGGGTTCCGGTCAGTGAGAACCAGCGTGCATAGCCTTGGGTAGAGTCAGGCGCTCCAGGATCTGGAGTCTTTGAGCGCCACAGACTGATTGTCCCCTCACCTTTCAGAAACCCAGCTTCTGAGAGTCTTCAGCATTAAGAACAGTCTCCACTCGTTCTGGGAGGTTGATGCACCCAAGTGAGGAGTTGGATAGGCAGGTACCAACGTAGGAGCCGACTTGGTAACCAAGTTTCTCCTCTCAAGTCCTCTTTTGTGGGCTGGAGGAACATCTAAGGGTGCATCACCACAGAAGGCCTGTCCTCAGGCTGGAGACACTAGGCAGGGGACTCCAGGCTTCCTTCGCCTGCTCCTTGGAGCCGAGAACAAGGCTCACCCTGGCAGAGCAAGGGCTATGGGCAAGGGCTTGCCAGAGTCTCCTCGGGCTCTAGGCAGCAGGGAGAACTGAGAACCAGGTGAGGGATCTGAGGGGTGGCTTATGATGAGGATGCTGCTTTGCCCAATTTGGTTTCCTGCCCACCTTCACTCATTTACCCCCACCCCCTTTTAGGTTGATTCTGTTTCTGTTGCACACCCTGCTTCCTTCAGTTTGCCTTTGTTTTGTCAGCCAGATGTGTGGATGGGGCTCTGCCATCCCCCTCCCCCTCCCCCTCCCCAGTCCTCTGGGGGCTGCTCTGACTTCTTCAGGCCTCTTCGGGGCCTGTTACAGCAGGCACGCAGGGCAGTCTGAGCAGACTTAGTGATGAGACACGGGGAGGGCACCAGGAGAGTCAGCTGGAAGCTCATTGGTCAAGCAGCTCGTGGTCCGCCTCCCCCATCCTGGCACCGGGGGACCCAAGGCAGGTGGGTCTGGTGGCAGGGAGTCTGTTGCTCACAGGGCATCCATGCCTGTCGTGAGTGGCAGTTGCAAGGGGGATGGGTGTGATTCCAAGCACCCTGCTTGCACTTCCCATCTGGAAGAGGTCCAAGCTCGTGCTCTGCAGAATGAGCGCAGGGTCTCGGTCCCTCAGTCAGTGTGTTGTTTCCTGGGCTCCAGCTTCCATGGGACATGGTCGTACGTAGAGGCTCCCTGCCCTTCTTTGTAATGAGATGAGATCATAAGCCCTTCTCAGCTTTGAGTGTGTGAGGCCCTCTGCACAGTCTGCGGGTGGCAGGCAATGGGACCCAGGCTCTATGTTTTTGACTGGGCCTGATTTCTGGCCCACTGCTCCCTTTCCTCTCATCCTCCCCAAACCTGGGTGGTTTTCCCCAAAACTGATCTGTTTGTATCTCACCCGGTGAAGATGACCCCCGCCGTGCACCATACCTGCTGTCTCTTAGGACAGCTGCCCATCTGTCCTGGCCATCTGTGATCTGGCCAGAGCAGTCCGTGCACCATGTGGGCTTCTTTTGGACTGAACCTTCCACCTGGAAATGTCTGGAAACTGCTGTCCTCATCTTTGACTCAGCTCAGATCTGTAAATGTTGGGCAGGCAGCTCCATGACAGGTTCTGGGGTCAGAGAGATGAATAACAGACCTGTCATCTTTTCTCAATTTTCCCCATCTCCTACATGGCATTCCTGAAACTGGTGGAAAGCCTTCGGCCATGGCTGGGGCGCCTTCCAGCGTGCATCAGGCAACCATTAGGTAGATGCTGCCTTCGGGCCCAGGTCCTGTGCTTCCAGCTCTGGATCCCCCTTCCTCTCAGTTGCCAGGCTGGTGGTCTCCACTGAACCAGGGTGGTTTTCCCACCTCTAGTTCCTGCTGTGGCTGGAGGTGACCTAGCAATATGCCTGTCCAGACTGTGGATAATCCCCGCTTCTGGGCTTTATTTCCCTTCTGTCCTCTACCCAACCCCACCCCAGGGCATGAAATCACCTGAACCCCCTTTGACCTGAGCACTGGGCGCATTCCCCATGGAAAACCTCCCTTCCCCTCCTTTCCCCTTCCTTCCCTTCCCCATCTGTACACTCCTCTGACAACTCACTCACCTGACCCTCCGTCCCTTCCCTCCCCTCGGAGCCTCTCCTTGCCTCTGTTCTCCCCACCTTTCCAGCCTCATCCAGCCATGAGACATAGCTAATGAGTGGTCTCTGCCAGTTGTGACCTCAGATAAGGTTGCGTCCTCCAAGGTGACTCCAGTGATGCCTGGGAAGCAAAAGTTCCTTGCCTCTCACTAATACCCTGAGACTGTTGCCACTGAGCAAAGGAAGAGCAACTAGGTAGCCATCATCAGAGAGAATCCCTTCCTTTCAGTCACACCCAGCAAAGGGGACCATCAGAGGGAGGGGACATGACTATGTGGAAGCATGCTCAAGCCCTTTGTCATTCTTGTCTGACCAGCAGGCCCAGGGAGAACTCACTCTATCCCTGCCTCTCTCAGCATCTCTGCCCCTAAGGCTGCTCGCTGGGACACACAGGGTCGCCTGTGTGAGTCTGGCTGTGTGAGTGTGAGCGTGTGTACCTCTGTACAAGGACCAAGGGACACGTGAGAGAATGGATAGCTTGGGAAATGTGACACCCTGTGTGTGTAGGCGGGGAGGCCCAAGTCTGCTTCACAGAGTGGGATGACTTAAGCCTTTTAAGGTGTGTTTTTTATGACACCTTTTAAATAATCATAGAAAAGAGAGGCCCTGTGAACATTGCATTTGCCAGAAATTATTAGAAAATTAGAGCAGTCCCGGCCCACCTGGGCAAAACAGCCTCTTGAGGTTCCTTCCAACAGTACGGAGCAGTTGTGTGTCCGTGGCCATGGGAGCCATCAGGGACCTGGCCTGGGAGAGAGCCGACCTTTGCCTGGTGGGTCTTATGCTTTTCCATGTATGTGTCTGTCTGCCTGCCTGTCTTGGTGGGTGGGATAAATGAATCCCCTTATGCTTAGCTTTTATAGCACTGAGCCTTCCAGGCCTGGGGCTACCTTGGTTTGAATATATCCTTGAATAATGTCTGTGAGAGGGAGATTGTCCCCACCCCAGCCCCGCACACCTTCCTGATGGCTGTGAGTTGAGTGGTGCTCTGCCCAGGAATCCTTCAGGATGTGCTAGAGTCAGCTGCCCAGTGTGGCTTCTGTGGTCGCACCCTCAGGGCCCAGTAATGCCTCTGATCTTGCAAATAGGGAAGTGACAGGGATCCCAGGATCAGCCCTCTCTATGGGGGACTTGCAGTATTGGAGGCCCAGGGGGATGAAAGGGCTTTTGTTGTCAGGCTCTGCTGGGAAGCTTAGGGTCTCTTCATTCACCCCTGAGGAAAGCACTCCAGCCATTTTCTCTTTGGCTCCCTCCCCGGCCTGGCCCCCTTTTGGGGGAGTGGGGATATTGTTTTCCTGAACTTAGGGAGATTTGCAGATTTGCGGTAGAGTGGGAGGTCACTATTCCTTGGGAGTTAGAGCTGCCTACTCATGTCAGCATCCTGCCTCCTGCCCCATTAGCGTCGACACTAGCACGTAGGCCGTGATCAGCTCACAGGAGATGGAGCAGTGGCGGCTCTGCCTCTCATTTGCCCCGTTAGTCTTCTCACACCCTCGAGCTTTAGCAGTATTGGAACTAAAGAGCAGGCAGTCCTCTGTTAGCTTCCAGGACCCTTCATAGAAGGAAAGCGGGCTTCTGGAAATGTGGTCACACATAGACTTAGCCCCAAGGGCTGACCTACGTGGAAGGTTAGCTTTGGATGGAAGATGAGGGCATGAGAGGTGGCACAGATTCAAACCCCCTGAAGATCTGTGCGAAAAAGATAACAGCATGCATCTCGCTGGTGACTGGGATTGCTGTCTGCTGTGGGTCGGGAAGAGGTGCTTCCATTCTTCCTTTGCCCCATTCTAACACAAAGAGAATGGATTGGGGTGCCTGCACCCTAATGTCCTAGAGAGAAAGGCAGTTCCTGCAGTCCAGGGTGGGATGGGTAACTGCAGGGAGGACAGTCACCGGGCCACGGGGAAGGGAGGAGAGGCCAGGAGGGTCCGCAGCGGAGACAGGGGCCGGGCCACACTGCAGGCTCCGCAGAGTGGGGAGGGTTCCCCTGGTGGCCTTAGACCTAAAGCAGGCGGGGAAACAGTAATTTGTGGGTGAATGGTTGGGAATGGCAGGCTTCCCCGTGCTCCTGTAGGACGGGAACCAGCCGTCCGCCCCCTCCAAGGCCGGGCTCCGGGTCTGGACCGACATGGTGCTGCTTGGCCTGTTATGGGTGGCGCTTGCCCTGGGACCCCAGGCCGTGGTCCCTGAGGCCTGAGAGGTTCGGTACATGTCCCTCCCCTTCCTCATCCCTGCTCTTGGCTGGATGCATGCTGGGTGCTTTGAGCCACGCAGACCATGAGAAGAAAATGAAACACACAGGGCTTCATTCTCTTCCTGCCCCATGGTTGTGTCCTTTCGCTGTGACCCGTCTGACCGTCCGCCCGTCACGCGGGGAGGCAGCTGATGCCTAACTCCATCTCGCCACTGGGCTGCCCGCCTTGCACGTGGGGCCGTGTGTCCTGGCCGTGGCCCCAAACCAACCAGACCCGGCTGTTTTACATTTTCCTCTCAGCTCCTCCCACGTTGTCCCCGACCACGGTGGGTGCCGCGGGCGCTGTGAGCAGTACCGACGTTACTGCCACTGCTGCCACCACCGAAGCCACAACAGTCCCCATCATCCCAACTGTCGCACCTACCACCATCGCCACCACCGTCGCCACAACTACTACAACCACTGCCGCCGCCACCACCACGGAGAGCCCTCCCACCACCGAGACTAAGGCACACGAATCGGGTACTGCCGCTGTCCACGCTCCGTCCCTCCACCTACAGGCTGCCCCAGACAGGAGGGGGTCTGGATGCCGGTGGCCAGCACCTCCTTTGTTTCTACTTTGAAAACACACACAACTGGATTCTCAGTCCGGTAGCCTCATGGCACAGGGTACCCCTGCCCCCACTCCTTGGACGGTTCCCCACTACTTCACCCCCCTCGTCCTCGCTTCAGACCCCCATCCCTTTAACAGAGGGCCACACTCCTCAGGCAGGACCCCTGGGTCCCGCATGGTAGGGCTACCTCCGACTACATGTCAAGCAGTGAGCTCGGGGCTGAGCGCTCCAGGAGGGAGAGAGTGCAGGGAAGGACAGGGGCCTGACACGACTACTGTCCTGAGAAGGTGCCCTGCCCTGGCCATGTGGCACCCAGCCTTGCAGCACAGAGGGCCAAGGAGTGGGGAGTGGCTGGCCATGCCAGGCAGCTCTTCCCAGAACCCTGCTCTTCCCTTGCCCCTCTACCCCCAGGTCACTCTTACAGACTTTTCTCCTAAAAAGTCCGAGCTTCCCAGAAACAGTATTGCCCAAGGTGCTGTGTTCTTCCCTCTCACGCTTGCAGCTCCTCTGCTGCACACATGGCGGGACAATCACGGCCTTTCTAGGGGCCCTGATAAGAATCGATCCCAGGCTGGCCTGCTGGGCCAGTATGCGCTGTTCCTGCATCATGCAGCTAGGCCAGGCTGCTCTGTTCATCCTGCTTGAGTAGACTTCCTGAGGATCCAGCAATATTTCTAAGAACCGAGCATTAAACACTCTTATTACCATAGAGGAGAGGGCTTCTAGCTTGTGGTGCCCACGGGCCAGCTGTAAAGTCAGTGTGATGCAGCCGGAGGGCTGGCAGGAAGTCCCCAGAACCTTCGTCCAGCAGCTATTTCCCCAGCAGTTCCCTTCACCTGTCAAGGCCTGCCTCCCACCTTGCCCACTTCTCTTAGCATGAGCTGGAGGCCTAACCCACGTGTTTTCTTTCATTCAATTACGTGAGTGATGTGAGCTGTAAGGGGAGATGGGTGGTCCGTAGCTGACGTGCTCCTCAGACCTTGGAAACACTGATTTGCTTTAAAGGTGCAGTATCCAGAATTTAAACAACATACGCTTAGGAAACAGTTGGCCAAGGAGAAATCTGCTAGGCTGTTAGAAGCTGCTGCCAGCATTTGCTGATGGGTGTTCTTTGGGATCCCACAGGGAAGTATCTTTTGCATTAAAGCGGGGCATCGTGTCCCACCTGAATGCTTTGAGTTCACAGAAGAGAGGCACCAAGTACGAGGAAGGGGAGTAGGTCTCGCTCACCAGCAGTTACTTGCCCTCTGGAAAGATTGGCCTTGCTGCCACATGGGACTAGCCCCAGGGACTCCTACACCCGACTTCTAACTGCCAGAGGGCCTGGCCATGCCCTTGATCTTCTCCTTAGAGCTTGGGTACACCCCTCAAGTATCCTCACTTCCCTAGTGTGGCAGAATGGCTCTGGTGTCCAGGCTTTTTCAAATAAATGTTCATCCTTATCATGTCTTTCATTTTAGGACAAAAAGTTTACTTTTTTCAGGGTAAAAGGGGACTTTTTATTTGTATGGTCTTCTTCAGATTTCCAGGGATTTTCCCTAATTCTCACACTCTAGGAGTCAGCAGAGCAACCCATGCTCCGGCTCACTCATCTTCTTGTTTTGTTAGCCATCGATAGCCCTCCTTCTCAGTCTTTCTCTTCGAACCGTTCAGTTTTTCAGTGGCCATCATCTCGGTCTCTGCATGGCAGTGCCTTCCACTAACTCCCACCTATAAATTGTTCTGGTTTCCCATCACTTGACCTTTTCTAATAGTGCCCCAATCCAATTGACCTTTAAGACAGTGAGATTTGAGTCACTGTTGTTTTGGTGGCCAATCCTTTAAACCCAACTCTTTGGCTATTTATCAAGTCCTCTAATCATGACTAATCATAATTCATTCCCACTAGCAAGAGCCATGAGATTCCACAGAGCTGGGATTGGGGTGGCCTAAAGCCCCCAGTATAATGGAAACATCTGGAAGATAGGTAAAGAAGCCTACCTTCTGCCCTCCCCCCATGGAGAATGCCCCATGGTGCCATCAGTGAAATCTCCTTCTTGGTCTCTCACCTAACACAAGTCACATCCACCTGGGGCAACCCACAACTGACAAGGTTGTAGTAGAGAAGGCACTTTAAAGTGAAGACCAGACCTTTTATCACTTCCCAGCCCGGGAGACTCAGTCACATGTCAAAAAGATAATGTATAAATGCATCACCAATGTACTCTATTCATTTACTTTTGACAAGTGAATTGGTGACAGGGCCCCCTTGCGTGCTAATAAAATATACAGGAGCCACACTTGTAAAGTCTTTGAAATACAAGGCCTCATGCTAGTTACTCTGCTATTAAATCTTTGCTTGGAAATGGGGTAATCGGACTGCTGGGACTCTTGAAAAATGATCACGTTTGAAGATTAGCACCATTCTCCTGTCCACAGGCTATGGTTTCAGACAGCACGGTGGCTTTGATAAAGTAGCTCCCAGCTCATAGAAACTAGATAATTAATGGCTTCGGTGTTGCACAGAGATCGAGCTTCAAAGACTGTGGTGCTGAGAAGCCGACAGAACAGGATTCTTCTGGTGTCTGGACCACCGAGGGTTGGGTGTTAAGAAGGAGTTGTCTTTTCTTGGTCCCACCTTGCCCGTGGGAGGAGAGGAAGGGTTCAGACTGTCTCTACTTGGGGCCCTGGGACCCTAGGTCCCCTTAACCTGAGGCCATCTTCCACATAGTTTGAGGTTTGGGTGACTAAGAATGACCCCAGGGCTCCTCAGACCAGAGTCACCTGTCTGGTTACCATTCTCCTCCAGTTTTAGGAGCCCATTAAGGCTTTCCCACGTTTGGTCCTGCCCTCCCTACAAATCTCATCATAACCCTTGAGTGGCTCTGAAAGCTACCCTCTCGTTCCTGTAGAAGGTGTGTAGTTAAAGGGACAGAGGTGGGCGCATTTCTTCCCCTGTCTGCACTCGAGCCAGCAAGGCTTTTTCCTGGCCCCCTTCACTGCACCATTCACATCCACGACAGTGATCTGGGAAGGGAGTGAGCCCCCCACCTGTGTGGCCACAGACAGTTTCCAGCCCACGCTTACGTATGGGTCCTCCCGACTGCACCTGCTCGTATCTGGATGGCGACCTCTGGCCTGGCCACCAAAGCTGCCGCTTAGAGCTCTGTCGGGCCCTGTGCACAGCCACTTCTGACTCTGTCCTTTCCTGGCTGCTCATGTCTGTCCGTCTGTTTGTCTCTCTGTCTCCAGCGCTGCCTCCCTCCTCACCACTAACTCCTCTCCTAACCCGCCCTTCAGCCCCCGACGAGCAGTCTATATGGAACGTCACGGTGCTCCCCAACAGTAAATGGGCCAACATCACCTGGAAGCACAATTTCGGGCCCGGAGCTGACTTTGTGGTTGAGTACATTGACAGTAAGCATTGCTGTGTGGGTGGCGGGCAGCATAGATGCCATTACTGAGACCCTGTGGACTCCCGGGCGCAGAGCCTCTCAGCCTGGCTTAACTATGACTTAATGAAATTGATACGTGTCAGGCAGCAGGGAGGTGGGGGGAGCAGGCTTGAGGAGCAGGAAGGGGCTTCTGCAGCCTTTAGTGAGGTCTAGGGTTGTGTGTGTTGGGGAGGCCCTGGGTAAGGGGGCCCTCCATCCACCCCCTGCCCAAGATGAGGGTTCTGAATAGCCCCCAAAAGAGCTGGATCTCAGCTCTGCGTGGATTTCCTTAACTCCGAATCCATGTTTCCTAATATCTCCCCAAGACAGGTAGGGCCAGTTCTGTGCTTTGTTCAGAGGGATGCCAGTGGCCATAGTCAGACACAGACCGGGGTCACTGGTCTCGGAGCTGGTGGCTTGAGCTGAGCTGTTCCCACTTAACTGGATCTTGGGACCATAGTACAGGTCTATTAAGCTATAACGTGGTCAGGATATCTGCCTCCTCTGGGGAAGGCCCCTGTGCCTGGGAGGTCAGGCCCACCGTGCAGGCCTCTAGGGCATGTGCTTTAAGTGAGTAAGCCAGCTAACCCGCTGAGCTGGCCACCTGAAGAGCTCTGGGGAAAAACAAGTCAACCCTTAGTTCTCTGTGGCCAAAGGGGAGTCACATTCATAGAATCCAGTATCCCAAGTTCGGTCCGTACTTTTCCAGCTTCCTACCCCCACATCCACCCTATACTCCAGACACGCAGGCACCCACTTCTCCTGAGCTCCACACAGTGAGAGAGGAGAAGCATGTCCAAGTACCATGAGGGATGCTATCTGGCCCTCTGACCCTCTTCAGGACAACAGCGTTGGCTGACACCCTGAGAATTTAAGGAAGTAGGTCAGATATATGTAGTGCTAAGTCGGTGGTGAGGAAAGAAAACCCCAGGAGAGGGAGCAGGGTCCTCTGCTAAAGGGCCGTCATGTAGGAGTCAGCAGTGTGTGGAAGGGCTGGTGCGGGAGCTGCCTGGAGACCTCCTGGTCTGCGCGGTGGCCTGGCCCCACTGGCCCCTGGCCCCTTCCATGCTTCTACCTTCGACAGGTGGCAGGAACCTAAGCACCGCCTCTCCAGCTCCTCATGCCTGGCCCTAGGCTGACTGAGGTTTCTGTTCCCCAGGCAACCATACGAAAAAAACTGTCCCTGTTAAGGCCCAGGCCCAGCCTGTACAGCTGACAGACCTCTATCCCGGGATGACATACACATTGCGAGTTTATCCCCGGGACAACGAGGGCATCAGCAGTACCATCATCACGTTTATGACCAGTACAGGTGAGAGGGGATCTGGCCTGGCCATCCCCTGCAAGCATGGGCATTTCATTCTCATCAGCTTCCTGCTTGGCTCCTCTCGGAAAGAAGACCCCTCCCCACCATTCCCCACCTTGCATGGCGTGTCTCAGCTCTTATAGTTTGCAGCTCCCAGCAAGACGAGGGGAGTCAAGGGTGCATGCACAGTGGAGAGGCCACCGTGCCTCTGACCCTTTGGGGTCAAGCGGGGAGTCAAGGGAACAGTCTGTAGAGTGAGGACCAGGAGGCCACATTTGTTTTGCTGTGCTTGCACACTTGGTCCCCAAGGGCGGGTGTGGGGGCTGCTGGAGTGTGGTATAGCCTGTCCCGTGGACACAGGCTTGCTTCCTGCCCGTGGGATTAGGGGATAGGGTCATCCAATGCCCTTGACCCAGAAATCTCTCCAGGAACAAAACCAAGGGTCAGCGTGTATGTTACTGCCTCGCCACTGTCGTCTGCTGTTAAAAAATTCTAAAGTGCGTTTGTTACACAAGTTGATTGGGATTTGTTTGGATTTTATTTTTGTTCTAAGTTTGTTATGGCTTAAAAGTAGTTGGCCTTTTGCCTTGCAGGGGAAGGGGAAGAAATTTTCCAGTATTAGGATCATCCTGGCTCTAAAGGGACTTCAGCTGGGGATGGAGACATATCTTCATTGTGTCAAGTGAACAGGCCGGCGACGGCTCAGTAATGGGTACAAGGCTCAGAAGCCTCTCTGCTAGGCAGGTAGCTGGCAGTCTGGAGTCATGAGAGCACTTGCTTGCCTGTTTGTGTATCTTTAAAATGAGACAGGCAGGTGGTAGGCTAAGCCCTGGGCTAAGTGTTGGGGTGAGGGAGAGACAGAACAGGACCAGTCTCTGCCCCCAGGGATGTCCTAATCAGATGCAGGTTAATAGACACAAGGATAGAGAAAAAAATACCACATGATTTATATGAACTTCTGAACGTTGACTTAAATATTCATTACTCTTCCTGTGCCTGGTCTGGTGAGGCTGATCCTGGCGGCTTGCGTCTTATGAGTCACTGCCCATCTGTATAAATGTCTTTCTCCACCCTTTCCAGCCCGGTCCCTCCTGGTCTGGGTCTCCTGTCATCCTCCCTGTCTCCGCCTGTCCTGCCTATGTTTGTGCCATCAAGACTCAGGGAGTCGCCCTGGCTGGTGTGGTTCAGTTGGTTGAACATCCGTTCCATGCACCAGAAGGTTGCTGGTTTGATTCCCAGTCAGAACACATACCCAGGTTGTGGGTTCGATCCCAGGTTGGGGTACATATGGAAGGCAACTCATTGATGTTTCTCTCTCTGTTTCTCCCATCCTCTCTCTCTAAAATCAATAAAAACATATTTAAGTTAAAAAGACTCGGAGTCGGAGAGTCCAGCTGTCCACTTGAGGCTAGCCAGGCCAGCTCAGGCAGGATGTCTGTCCTAGATACAGTCAAGGGAACTGGACAGTTGACCAAGTGGAGCATGTGGCTGGACTGTGTCTGGCCCAGTCAGGGTCCCAAGCTGTCGCTCACCAGTCATGCATTCGAATGTTGCTTCATTACAAAACTGAGTCCGGCACAGAGGCAGAAAGCAAAGATGAGACTTGAGGATTGGGTTCCATCCTAAGGATGCTGCAGAAACCTGCACAGCCTGCTTCAGAGTGAGGCTTCTCCAGGGCTGTGGTGAGGGTTGAGAGAAAGAGAGAAAAAAGGACGAGTCCCTGTCCTCAGGGATGTCCCAATCTGCTTTGAGGTATTAAGCTCATAGGACAGAAAAAAAACGACAATCAATAATACACTTCTGAGCATTGACTCAGATGTTCATGTATCTTCCTGTGGTTGCCTGGAGAGGCTGGTCCTGATAGCTGTGTTCAGAGCAGGTGAGGCACTCGGCACTTGCAAGTTGTCCCAGTTCCTCCCATTGCAGTCTGGAGGGAGCAGGTGTAGGACCTTAGCTTTGAGCACAGAGTGCTCACCTTCCTAGTGGGCTGGAAATTACTATGTGGAAATTACATAGGGAAGGAAAATACTGTCACTTTCTGAAGTTCCTGTGTGCCTGTGTGTGTCCAGAACCTTCAAAAATAGACAGAGTTTCCTGTGGGTGGACTCCAGAGGCGAGTTCACACAGTCCCCCAGCTCCCTGTGTCTCATCAAAGCAAGAGTTTGTGAGCACCTCTGGACCTGATCACTGGTCATTTAGGCAACCACAGGCCATCACTTTAGTCCACAGATGCAAACATGCTATAGTGGTCCAGGAAGGAAGTGGAGGAAAACCACTAGGAGTGCTGACAGGCTCCCTGATCCTCCAGGAAGATCCCACATGGGAAGTTAATCACCTCCTTGAAGCCAAAGAGGCCCGAGGGGTTGCAGACGCATAGCCCTAGACTCCAAGAGGCCAGTCAGCTCTTCCATCATGAGTGGGTGGCATGAGGTGAGGCACCGCACGGTGGATGCTGATGGTGGGTCAGCAAGACAGACAGCAGTCCGTCTCAGATCTCAGGAGAGCCTCCTCCTGCCGCGTTTGGGAGAGACCCAGGACAGGACGAGGTGGGAATGGAGAGGTGTAAGTTGATGCTTCAGTGAGAGCAGCCAAGCCAAATTGCATTTGAAGGCAGTCCTTCCCTATTATATTTGTTCCTCTGTCCTTATTTCTGAAATATAATTCTCCTGCCGACCTTGAATGACTGGCCTCTCTTCCATGGCCAAACCAAATTCCTCTCGATTAGTTAGGAGTCACAGGAATGGTCTACTTGCTCGTTTCTGAGTGGGTTGTAGGGTGTGGTGTGGAAGACACACAGAATATGGCCTCTGGTCCAGAGTAAGAGGCACTAGGACCTGTGTTTGCCAGGTGAATCCCACCTTACCCCGGATCCCACTTGGTTTGGGTTTGGTTTTTTAATGGAGATATTATTGGCATATAACATTGATTACTTTTAGGTGTACAACGTAATGATTTGTTATATGTATATATTGCAAAATGACTACCACAGTGTTTGCTTAACATTCATCATCACACATAGTTACAAAACCCGCTTAGTTCTGAACAGTCTTCTGTGTCCAAACTTCATAGAAAATTCTTTGCCCATCAGGAAGGACTGAAGATAACCTTTGAACTCTGCATGGTGAAGTCAAGAGTAGAAAGCTGCATTTGCTTTCCAAATTGCCCGTATGGCCACTCTCCCTGGAATTGTGACTTTTTCTCCCAAGGGGAGGGGAGTCTTGTAGAGACGGCTGTCAGCGTGTATCAGAACAGGCTTCGGGATGATGGTGGAGCAAACAGGTCACTGCAGACACACAAACTAGCTTCTCTGCAAAAGGTGGGCACCACATCGAAACACAGGCCGAAGTGATTCCCTCATCCCAGTGCCCAGGTGTGGCTCACAGTCAAGCCAGTATCCCTGTGACCCCAGCTGGTATCGGGGAAGAAACTAAAGCAGTTAGCCATATCATATTAGGATTAAATTGATCATCAGTAAGTAGTCACTGACTACTTGTGATGTCATGAGCACCACGCTTAGAACTAGGTGGCTCAAAGAGTCCCCTGTTCTCAAGTCCTTAGTAGTATCACTGGAAATCAGGGCCCAGGAAGTAGAGCAAGTAAATGTTACGTTACAAGTAAATGGGGTTCAGAGATGGGGGTTAGCTGGAAGAATGGGAGATTCGTGAATGGAAGAATGGAGGAGAACAAGAGGGAAGCAGTGCAGGCGCTCTTGGGCAGGGTGGCAAAGATGCCAGGAGGGGAAGACCAGAGCTCTTGGAAGGCCAGGCCTGACGGGAGTGTCCTACGAACATAACATAATGTGTCATCGTATCCTCAGGATAGGCCAGGCAGAGGGTGAGCGGAACCCCCTGGAATGGAGCAGTGAGGTGAATATGAGAAACATTTCGGAAGGAGCAGCGGTAGCCCTTAGGGACAGGGAGAATGGTGAAGCCACTGACGGACGCAGGAAGCAGGGAGGGGGCAGGAGGGCGCATGTTGAATCTCAGGCAGTTGGACCATTCGCGGAGCTGTTAGGAGGAAGCTGTGGGCTTGGGTGTGGAACTGGCTGGAGGGACAATGAGAGACAGTGGAAGGGTTGCCAGCTGGAAGGTCGGGGCTGGAGGACAGAAGGGAGGAGCCGAGCGCAGAGGTAGGTTTGGGAAAGGGCCACTCCATGGTGGTAGATGAAGCGCCCGGCACAGGGGCTCGAAGTTGGCTCGTTGGGGGTGGAGAAAGGAGGTGGCAGGAACTGGAGACAAGGGAGGACCGAGTCTACCTATGAAAGGACAGTGCATGAGCTAGAGCTGAAGAGCTTGGCAGGTTCCTCAAGGGGTTTTATTTTAAGATACAGGAAGCTTCCGTGTGTTTCACAGCAGAAGGGAGGAGACGGCAAAGAAGAGGAAATTGAAAATGTTAGAGTTTTCAGAGATCCTTTCAGGATGGAGCTGCCAAGGAAGTGAGGCGTGGGTCCCGCACCTGAGGGAGGAGTAGCTTCAGAGGAAGGAGAAGGGACAGAGCAGGGACGGCTGTGGAGGCTGTGGGGTCTCGCTGTCTCCAGAGTGGAGTGAGTGGGGTCAGCGCTGACAGGGTAGGGGCAGTGCCAGGCGCAGTGGGGAGGAACAGCAGGAGACGAGGGAAGGGGTCGCCAGGCAGAAGTGAAGCCCGGTCCCAGTGGGACGCAGCGAATCTGAGATGGGCCTAGGTCTGCGCCTTCCTCCAGCAGAGTTCATGGCAAGAGCAGAAAAATGCAGGAATGGCCAAGGAGACCCAAGCTGGGAATTGAGTTGGTGCTGGAATGGGTGGCAAAAGGAGGGACAGTGGGGCGTTTAAGGTTAACGGAGGCGCCGTCAGGCCAAGAGAGAGTGAGCGGGCTGAGTGGAGGGCAGGGGGTGGAGGGTGCAGCCACTGAGTGGACGTGAATGCCGTGCCTCCAAGTGTAAGGCTCAGTCCTAGCACTGGGGAGACAGCAATGAACCTGGCAGGCCCTCCTTCAAGGCGCTTACCTTCTGGGTGGAAGGACTAAAGTGGGAAAGAGCTCAGACTGGGGTCACATCTCAACTCTACCACCTCCTAGCTCTGTGAGCCTGAGTAAATCACTGACCTCAGGACCTCAGTTTTCTCATCCGTAAGATAGGGATAATGCAAGCTCACTTTACAGGGTTGTTGTGAGGGTTATTTTAGAGGGTGTATGGGAAAGTACTTAGAGCATAGGCCATAGGAAGGGCTGATAAGTGTGAGCTGTTGGTAGTAGTAACACAGTAGTCCCCCTTATCGACGGTCAACCGCAGTCTGAAAATACTAAATTTTGCCCAACCATCGACAATGTCTGCTCCTGATATCCAGCCATCAACATCGTCATGGCTCGATGATCCAGGATCACCCAGAGCAGATGATCCTCCTTCTGACATGTTGCCAGAAGGTCAGTAGAGCCTAACATGAGTCACAGTGCCTACGCCGTTCACCTCACTTCATCTCAAGGAGGCTCTGTACCATCTCACATCATCACAAAAAGGGTGAGCGCAATACAGTAAGATGTTTTAAGACAGACCACATTCACTAACTTTTATTACAGTATATTATAATTGTTCTGTTTTATTATTAGTTGTTAATCTCTTGTGGATAATTTATAAATTATACTTTATCATAGGATATGTATATATAGGAAAAGACATAGGGTTTGGAACTATCCACAGTTTCAGGCATCCACTGGGGGTCTTGGAATGTAATCCCCGCAGATAAGAGGGGCTTCTGTGTGACTCAGATAGTTACAAGTGCTGTGAAGATTAAGTTAGAGTTCTCAGAGTGACTGGGTCAGGGAGAGGGACTTGCTTTAGCTGGAAGATGCAGGAAGGCCTTTCTGAGAAGATGACATTTGCTGAGATCTAAAGAAAGAGCAAAGGCCCTGAGGCAGGAATGAGAGTGGCCAGCGTGGCTGGAGTACAGAGAGTGGTGCGAAATAGGACTAGAGAGTGAGTGGCCAGGGCCAGCTTGGTGGGACCTGATGGGTCAGGATAAGGAATGGAAGTTTTTCCCAGTAGTAATGAGACGTATTGGGGGTTAAAGCAGGACGTCATTGGATCTTATGGGGGACTTGGGGAAGATCTCTCTGGCGCTGTGGGGTTGGCCTGTGGGGATGGCAGTGGAAGCAGGGATGGGAGTTGCCCCCACAGGGTACATCGATCAGGGCAATCAGCCATACCCTACAGAACTCAGCTGCTTCCCACCCTGGGCAGCCGGGGCTTGGAGAGCATGGCAGCATTTGAGCATCATTCTCCTCCATTGATTGAGACTCTTGGTGCAATTCCCTTGGCTAGGTGCTGAGAAGACAGTTTCTCAGCCCAAAGGAGCAAAGGGTGGGACTGCATCCAGATACCTGCTGCACAGAATAGCACTTGATAGACTTTGGAGCATCCCCTTTGTCCCCCGTGCTCCTCCCCGGGGGACGCCTGCGCCTGGGCTCTGGCTCTGTGGCTCTCAGAGCTCCTGCTGCAGTCTAGCCCTCCCAGAGGTGGCTCCGCCCACTGGGCCGGCTTCACAGTTATTTGCGCCTGTTCTGGTCTTCTGATCCTTCCCCTCCTCCGCATCTTGGTTTCCATGCAGGCTGCATCTCAGGAGGTGTCACTTTTGTTCTCTGGTCCATAGAAAGGAGACTGGTGAATGGGTCCTACCCAACCCACACCTTCCCTGAGCCTTAGGCCCAGCCACTGGGTCATTCAGGACACCATCAGATGCCTGAACGTCTGTCTTCTAGACTCACCTATATGCCCCTCCAATTACACAGGAGTCTGTCCACTCAGAGACAGGTCTCTATATATTCCAGGCAGGGATAGAGAGAGACTCGCTGTCACTGGGAGAGACAGGGCAGGTCAGCTTGTCACAGCTGCCAGGTGGAGGGAGAGGTCTTCGCCTGTGGACGTGGCATTGGGTGCGCTGAAGGCATGGCCCCAACCTCGCCGCCAGTCGTCTGTGGTACCCACTCAGGGACTGTCTTTGCTGCCAAGGAGCACGCAGTCCTGTTGGGGAGACATGAGAAAGCAAGGGTGTCCTGGAACTACACCCTGCCCCGACCCGCTGCCAGGAAGCCTGGGGGGCTTCGGGGCCATGCTGGTGGGCGAGGCTGTGCCCCTGGGCCTGTGCAGGCCCCAAAGGTCTTCTTATAAGGGGTGTTTGCGTCATGACCATGCCCGTTCCCTGATGAGTGGCACGCAGTCTCCGTTCCTCCACCCCCCGCCCAGGCTCATTCATAGGGAATTGTACCTCTGTGGCCAGTCCCTGGCCTTCCCTCGGTCCCCACCAGGCAGTGACCAGGATTTGTTTGCATGAATGCCATGCCTCGTTCTTAGGAAGCCCCCCTTCCTAAAGGGCCTGTCAGCCCTCTGCTGCTTATTCTGCTCCATCCCCCCTTCCTCTGCCTCTTTTCCGACCTTTTGACCTTGGCTCCCTAATTATTTTTACTTTGTCCCTGTCTCGGGCAGTTTGGGCCAGAGGACTGCTAGGTGGTAGCATTAGGCTCTAGGAGGAACATCGAGGGGAGTAGCGGGAGCTCTTCCCTCACCTCCCCCTCCTCACCTCCTCCCATGCAAAACCCCTCACGCGTCTGCTCTGGCCTCCCCACAGCTTACACCAACAGCCAGGCCGACATCGCCACCCAGGGCTGGTTCATTGGGCTCATGTGTGCCATCGCCCTCCTGGTGCTGATTCTCCTCATCGTCTGTTTCATCAAAAGGAGTCGTGGTGGCAAGTACCCAGGTAAGATGTGTCAGAGGAGGGGGCTTGGGGGACTGGCCAGCAAGCTTTCCTGTGAGTCACTGGGTCCCCTGCCAGATCCGGGGGCTCTGTTCTCTCAGCGAGCCTAACCCTAGCCAAGCTTGAAAAAACAATTCTCTTGCCTGCTCTGTGCATCTTAGAGCTGCCAGAAAGCACTTGAGTTAATTAAGTTTGCTTGAGGTGGGCAGACAGAGTGGTCCAGCAGCTCCAGAGAGGGGATGGAAGGAGCCCTGGTCTCTATTAAGAATGACCTTCCCTCCCGTTGACTCACCATCCATCTGCTCAGTAAATTGGCTTTTTTCAGACCGAATTTCATTAGAATCCTGTGTCCAAAGAAAGGAAAAAGGAAGAGAGGCATTTTCTCTAACCGTGAGAGAGAGAGTGCAGTGAGGAGGGTCTGGACAGAAGCATAGCCGGGAGGGAGGCCATAGCGTTGGGCTCTCGGCGTGATTAGGACACCATTACGGACACCCTAACAGGACAGCAGCTCCCAGGTAAGGAGCAGGCCGAGACTGAGGGGCAGGACGCACTGACAGAGACCCTCCTGGCCCTTCAAGGGCTTTGGGCTTCCTTAGAGTCCCAAAGGGGCATTTCTCTTCTCTGGGCCTCAAGATCCTCCAGCCCAGACAAACCAAGATCAAGGACAAGGACCTCTGGTGTTCTTGTTTCTGGAAATATTGATTGTTTTCAAATGGGCAAGACAGCCAGCCATCTGTCTGCGATGGGTTGGGCAGGGCGACTGGAGATAGGATAACGGATGACCCTGAGAGTGAAAATCCTGCTGGACTGCAGAGTGAAATTATGCCTTGCCCCCCAGAGCCCCAGCAGCCAAACATGCCCCACATTCCCAAGTTCCTGTTTCTCTCCATCTCTGTGAACAAACCTCCTCCAGGACCACTTAAAACTCGGAGAGGAGATTGTTTCCTGCTTCCCCTGCCCACTTACCCTCAGACGCCAAGGTTCTAAAGAGTTATGCCTCTCCTTGAAGCGAGGGAGGGCCGGAAATTATCATTCCTGTTTTGATAATGATGTTTCTTTCATGCTGTTGTGCTGTGTTGGGATTGCTTTTCTTCTGTAAGGAGAGAAAGCCAGAGGTAGGGAGATGGGTAGCCTTACTGAGTTCACCTCCCTGTTCCAAGTGGAACTTGACCACCTGAAGAACTCATCAGGTGAGCTCAGAGCCTTCCTTTGCCCGTTAGAAAGTGTCCCCATTAGAAAGATGAGTGAACCAGGAGCCATGAGGCCTGAGCCCTCGTCTTCACTCTAGACTCATTCAGTTGCCAATTTATGTGACATGTTCTTTACCTCTAAGGCCTGTTTTCCTCCCCTAGCATGGGGGTGATTATCCTTCCTTACACCCCAAAAAGGATACGTAGACATTCACGTAAACGTTTGCTATGTGCTAGGCCCTGTGCTGGGTGCTAAGGATTCTAGAGGAAAGACAATCTCTCCCTCAAGGACATTTCAGCTGGCACCGAAGGAAAAGCACAGCACAAGACAGGGCCTTGGCGGATGTTTTCAGATCACAGAGTGTGGAGAAAGGGAGTCATGCAAACAAGTGAGGTCACAGCACTCGACTGTGAGCTTTGAAGAAACACGCAGTGCCCCACTCTCAAGGGAAGAACTGGCATTCTGTCACTGGCATAAGAAACACAAATAATTATAACACAAGCAGAATAAGAAAAGTGCGAAGAAGCCCGGCCAGCATGGCTCAGTGGTTGAGCATCAACCCATAAACCAGGAGGTCATGGTTCGATTCCCGGTCAGGGCACATGCCCGGGTTGGGGGTTCGATCCCCAGCGGGGGGGCGTGCAGGAGGCAGCCGATCCATGACTCTCCCATCATTGGTGTTTCTCTCTCTCCCTTCCTCTCTCTGAAATCAATAAAAACATTTTTAAAAAATTTTTAAAAGCTGCCAAAGAAAGGCACACATCCATCTGGTGTTTGGGGAGGTGCGGGGAGCCGGTGGGCGGAGAATTTAGTTGTCAGTGGAGATGAAAGGAAGCCCCGGGTGAGGAGGAGGAGATGGAATCGACTTGGCAACTGATTAGGTGTGGGCAGCAAGAACCAGGGAGCCATCGATGGTGCCTTCTTGAAAGGGAGAGTGTCACTGAACCCAAAGGTGGCATCTTCTGGCTCTATGGTCAGGGACCTGCAGAGCAGGGACATACTCAGTCATTGTGTCTGTGTCTTTGCTTCTCTTATTGACCAAGTGCGAGAAAAGAAGGATGTTCCCCTTGGCCCTGAAGACCCCAAAGAAGAGGATGGCTCATTTGACTACAGGTGCGTGATCTCCTTGGCTCCTGTTCACACACAGTGCCCCCTGTCGGGCTGGCTGTCCTCAGTGCCCTCCCCTCAGAGCAGCTCGGCGTGGCCGACTCAATGTCCTCGCCATCGCCCATTGAACTGTCACCCCTTCCTCTCTGACAGTACCTGCTCGTCCTGACTGTGCCGAACAAGGCTGCCCCCACAGTGCCCGACACACATGAATGGCATTTTATCATTCAGCTGTGCAGTTAAGATCTATTGAGCTCTTTATATGTGTTTCCACCTTTCTACCCTGGAAATGGGCCCTGGGTCCTCTTTGCTGTGAAATGAGCTCGGCTCTCGGCTTCCTCTCTGCCTACACAGGAAAGCTGTATTGGCCTAAACCATGGACTAGGGGAGGGATGAAGGCACTGGCAGTGGCGGTGGGTGTTCTAGACCTTTTCCTCGTGAATTTGAACAATAACTCTGGGCTTTGGGCTGAAAAAGGCCGTACAGAAGCATCCGGTCCAATGACTGTCAAATGAGAGGACTGGTGCCCAGACTGAGAAATGACCTTCCCCCAGGACTCTCACACTTGCCACTTAATGAGCTAGTGACAGAGCTGGGAGGCGGGGGGAGCAGGGGCCCAGCTTCCAGCTACTGCCATTGTCCGACCCCTTGCTATCCCTTGGATCTGGACAGCCCTTCATATCTGGCTTAACAAAGTGGCCATCTGTCTGTCGCGATGGCAATTGTGTTTTGAGTTAAGGAACAATGCGGGGTGACTCATAAAGGTCTCATTCCCAGACCAAATGGGGTGGGAGGAAATGCTCTCATCAGAGCCTTTTCCCCACCCGTCACTCTGGGGCCAGGTTGCCCTGTCCTCCTCTGACCTTCTTCCATCCTGGGCCTCTGCCGCTCTGTCCATCAGCAGCCTGGCAAGCAGGATCCGATCAATGGGCAGCAGAGTCACTGCCCGCACGGGAGCCTGTCTGGCGGCTTAAGGACCACGTCCATCCATCCAGTCCCAACATCCCCGCAAGATTCTCAAAGGGCAGGCACGGGAGGCTCCTCCCCTGACTGTCTCAGACCCCTGGTGGGGCCCAGCTCCTCCATAAGCTGGCAGCTGTTCCCTGGTCATCAGTTTCAAAGCCACAGAGGAGGGGTGAAGACCTCCTCAAACACCGGACCAGGAGGCCTGTGCTGTGAGAAGCTGCTTCCGCAGGCACCTCTCCTCCCCTAGACACCAAGCTGCTGGGCAGAACCCCTGCCTCCTCCCCAGCCACCCCTAGCCCACTGACACTGAGGTTGGATACGCAAGCACGGGCCTTACCCCACACGGGCACATGCATGCACGCACGTACACACACACACACACACCCCCCCTCAGCTTTAGCTGGGAGGAGGGGGTATCGGCAGCATTCATCCTAGATCCCTACTGGGATGAGTCCAAGAGCCCTAAAGTGGGAAAGGGCTGAAATTAATACCTCAGAGGAAATGACAAGTTTCTAGGTACACAGGCCGGGGGCAGGGAGGAGCACCCTGCTGCCCTGTGGCCTCGCTCTGCTTCCCTCTCCCTTGTCTGTCCACCTGATCCTCCAAGGGGTCTTGGAAGGTAGGCTGGCAGGAGGCTAGACCAGGGTTCCCCAGTCATTCTGGTTCATTCAGGCTTCCCTTAGGAGAGGCCTGTCCTTTCCAGACCTGGATCGTTTTCCCTACTTCCCACCCCGACAGGACCATCCCTTTTCCTGTCCAGCGGTTGCATTTAACTTAGGTGCCTGGAATTCCCTCAGGTCGTAAAGACACAATCCTCATGTTTCTGCAGGTGGAGTGGAGGGGCCTGGTAATTGGAATCTGCCAGTTTTCGCAGCACCCTTCTCATTGCTAGATGGGATGCAGCCCGATTTATGAATCTCTTAACAATGCCAATAAGATCTTCAAAATTTTTTAAAATCTGCTAGTTCTCAAAAGGGGAGTTCCACTTCCTGCACAAACCCCAGAGACCCACTTCCCTCACTCAGGGGCCTCTCCCATCACTGCCATCCGAGAACCCAGTGAGGCTGTTAATGGGGCCGTGCTCACTTATCAGGTGGGGGGAGTGGGCTAATACCTTTCTATCTACTAATGCCCAGCTCCTCTGGCTCCTGCTCACAGCCTTCCCCTGACAGCTATCTTTGCCCACCGCTGCTGTTAGAAGCCATAACACACTGCCCAGTATAATGGCAACTCAGCCTGCGGTTTTCTAACACCCAGGAAGGATTATTGAGCGTGGCCTGGGGACAGCAGAGAGGATGGTGTGTGTCTGCTCAGACCACCTGGCACCGCTGTGGTCCTGCCTACCAGGACTCAAATTGTCGTTGATGGTCCCACGGCCTCCTGCCTGGGATCTGGATTGCCCCTGAAGCACAGCCAGCAGCACCCAGGCCACCCTCTGAGCCTAAAGGGTAGAGTTTTCCAGCCAGGATGTGGTGCCTGAGCAGATGCCCGGGGGTGCAGCAGGAACAGTGGGTAGCTGCTGCTCTAGTCCCAGCCCTTACCCGGGAGGAGCTTAAGGGCAGCACCTGGGGGCCTCAAAAGGAGCTGGGCAGGATCCTCTGAGCCTTGCTAGTCTTTGTTTCTGGTCTCACCTATTATCTGCATGTCACGCCCTCTTCAACTTGCTAGGCCCGAAGCTACAGCATCTGTCTGTAGATAAACCAGGGAGAGAGCTAGGAGCAACAACACCTAGACTGAGCAGGGGAGGGGCAGGGCAGAGATTTGTTTCTCTAAGGCCCAGACCCTGGCTTTTTGTCAAGGGCAGAGCCTTCCCAGGCAAAGTCACAGATCAGCCCTGGTTGGGTAGCTTTAGAGCATCATCCTGATATGCCAAGGTTGCGGGTTGGATCCCGGGTCAGGGCACATACAAGAGTCACCCAATGAATGCACAAATAAGTGGAACCACAAATCGATGTTCCTCTCCCTCTCTTTCTCTCTAAAATCAATAAATTTAATTTAAAAATAAAAAATGAAGTCACAGATCACTAGTCCAAACTCCCCTCCTGCCTCCCCATCTGCCTGGCCTCATAGCAGTTCTCTCTGCCTCATCCAGGGTGACAATCCCCTGCCTGCTCCCACCCCAGAGAGTGGCCCAGCTGCATGGAAAGGACCCCAGACCAGGAGTCTCCAAGTGTGGGCTCCTGTCCCAGCTCTGCACCAATTTGCCACTTTACCTTAGAGAAGCTGCTTGACCTCTAGGACGTAGTTCCCCTCTGGAGAACTTGCTGGACGGGAGGGCTAGACTGGGTGGTCCCTCGGGCCCTGTCCCCTTGGAGTGTGTAGTGCATACAGCATGGGTGTTTGGCAAGAGACCGGCTCCCTGCCAAGCCCCACCTGGGTTTAGGCGGCGCTGGGCTGGGCTGGGCCTGATTCTCTGTCTCTCTCTGGCCAGTGACGAAGACAACAAGCCCCTGCAGGGGAGCCAGACGTCCCTGGACGGCACCATCAAACAGCAAGAGAGTGACGACAGCCTGGTAGACTATGGCGAGGGCGGCGAGGGCCAGTTCAATGAGGACGGCTCCTTCATCGGCCAGTACACGGTCAGAAAGGACAAAGAGGAGACTGAAGGCAACGAAAGCTCAGAGGCCACGTCGCCGGTCAATGCCATCTATTCCCTGGCCTAATGGAGCCCCAGGCACAGCCACTAGTTCACAAGTGGGAAGAGAGGAGAGGGGGAGACGAAGCCACCACCACCTTCACGGACAAGGGTACAGCGTGGGCGCCTGCCAGACTGTGAGGACCACTGATGACCCAGCCTACCATGAGCTCCCCTCCCGGGGACCCCGCGCACCCAGGTGCCATCTGTGTGGGAGAGCCAGAGCCATGGCCAAGCTCGGCTGGAGGGAGCCTGAGCCCCTTGCTCGGCCTCACAGCCGCCCCGAGCCTTCCACTCGCCCTGCCTGCCCTTGACCTCGGCGCTCGCACCTGTTTCGTTGGTTTGGGGACTTTTCATTGCCTTTATTTTTGCTTTATGCACCTTCCCCTGCAGGCCCAATGTCTCTGTTTTCCTTTTGAAGCATCCCTGGAAAAAGAAAGAACCGGTGGATTCTCCCCCAGAAAACCGCAAAGATAGTTTTAAAAGATTTGGTCCATAAAAGAACATACAGAAAAGCTGCAGTATTCAAACCGCGCTGGCCAATGTATTTCCAAAGGATGCCTTTCTCGCCGTGAGCCTCCCCGTGCCCGCAACCCATCACCTCGGCCTTGTCAGTTGCTGAGCTGGGCTTGGCTCCTTTCTGGAAAAATGACAGTATTTTTGGCAGGGAGAGGGTGGATAGGGCTTCTCACCTTGCTCTGGCTCAGTTGGGAGGTGGGCTTACCTCTTGCTCCTCGCTCTTACCCTGCCCCATCCTCCAGAGTGTCCAAGACCAGAGCTGCACTGACTGATGAAGGGGTTTGAGGAGCAGGAGTGGACACTGACAGAAAGGACCTCAACTCCAATGACTGGGTGCCTCAAGCAGCAGAAAACCAGGCGCCTGGTCCCTGGGGAGCTGTGTCACCTCGAGAGAGGAGAAAGGGCTGGGTTTGGATTCCTTCCTCCCCATCAGTGAAACCCAGGATGTAGGAGTGAGGGCCACACCCACTGCATCCAGAGTAGAGGGTGCCCTCTGGTCGGGGCACCTGGTCGGGGTCTGCGCTGCTGCCCTCGAGGAGATGGAACCCTCTAATACAAAGGCTTTGCCTGTGTGTTTTGGGGTGTAAAGCTCTGCCCCCCCTTTTCACCTGTAGCAGGTATCATCTCTTCGGTCAATCCTGTATGATGTTGGAACTGTGCAGATGGGGCCCTTCTGCCCCAAGACTGACTGTATCCTTTCCTTGGGGTATTTACCTATCAGGGGACCCTTCAGGGACACCACCCTGACAGTGCTGTGAAGCCTGGCCTGGAGGACTCGGCGCTCTTCTCTTCGTATGCCTTATGCAACTCTCCTGCGTCCCTGCAGTTCCCAGGTTCCCGCCCCTCCCTGCAAGCCTTCAAGCCTCCAGCATCATCTGTCTCGAGAATGGGTGGCCTATGCAAGCGTCAAGCAGAACCAGAAGAAGCCACTTGACATGTGCCCTGCAACCTGTTGCCCAAGTGGAGACACCTGCAGACATGCAGTTCTCAGACCGAAGGCACTGCCTTCATCTACCCCACCTAATCCACTTTCGAAACCAAAGGTACTGGTCTCAGAGGAGAGAGATTTGGAGCCTAAGAGGAATCCTTAGCTGCTGCTGCAGCTCACATTGGTTTCAGCAGGGGGAAGCTGACCCTGCAGTGGGTACCTGCCGCAGTCAGCCTCTGAGTTGAGCCTCCAGCGGCTTGTCAGGGGACCTGGGCAGGAACAGGGCTGTGTCCTTCAGAGACTTTATTAAAGCATCATTTGCCACGTGTATGAGCCGCAAAGGTATTAGCTCTGCTTGCATCGCTTAGTAACCAGTCAGTGAAGGTCAGGCCCATGGATACACATGCTCTGTCTGCAGGTAAAAACTATAGCCCACAGCTGAGCCAATTATTTGAACATGAGAGCAAGTAACTGCCCTTTGGCCTTAGCCTTGGCCAGGTTTGCTACCTAGAAGCCCAAGAGGCAGCTTTCTCATGGTGACAGGGACAGGGTAAATAGCAGGGGGCTGAGGAGTGAGCTCAGGGGCCCTCTCCCCTGGCTTTCCTCTGGCCTCTGCCTGGACACAGCTGGGTACTCCTGCAGCCTAGGCCCAGGGTCCCTGAAGGGAATGTCAAGGAAGCACCCCTGTGAGCTGAATGAAAGGACCGGCCTTTTCAGAAAACACTGTGTATCTGAGCAAGGTAGTCAGTTTCTCAGGCCCTGAGTCCATATTGCACCATACGTAAGAGTGAACTTATTGCACCGAAAACAGTCTCTTAGGGCAAGAAGGACTGTGAGACGTCTTCACACCTGTCCCCCTGCTCCTAGAAGGTCTGCTGCACAGCTGATGGCCAGGGAAGGGCCCCTGCTACTGTTGGGTCTGGGGGAGAAGTGACTCCCCAGCCTGTCTTTGCTCCTCGTTTATGTCCTGTCCGACTCTATACCAGCCTGGCTGCCTGTGAAGACAGTGCCATCGGCCCCATCAGGAGCCTGCCCACCCCACCATGCCCTCACAACCCGCTGGCAGGCAAGAGCAAACCTGGGCCTGAAGAACCAAGTTGTCCCCAAGCAGAGATGGCAGGCGCTTAGCGAGGTATGGGTTGCAGGGTTAGGGTTAGGGAGAAGAAAGCCCTTTTTCCATGGCGCCATGCCAGAGTCCACCCAGCTCAGCAGGAGAGCAGTATTGTCCCACACTCCCAGCCAACGGGGCTCTCAAGCAACCACCCAAAACACCCAGCAACAATGCCGGGAGAGGGCGATACCATTGGTGCTTCCGCCTGTCTGGCTGGGGGGCCCGGAGTGGGGAGAAGTGTAGGTCATCTCACAGTGACTAGGAGTTTTATTGCCTGTGCTGCGATCCCAGCTACGTGCTCGCCACAGGAGCTGCGGCTTCTTATGTCCTCATTTGTCCCATGGTCACCCAGCATATCCTTTTGAACATCGAGTGTGAGCCAGGCTTTGCCTGAGCCATGGACCATGGTGAAGGTCAGGTGCAGCCCCTGCCCTCTCAGGGCTGCCGGCCTGGACCTGAGTCTTGGGACACAGAGTCATTGACTGGGAGCACTCTGAGCCTGTGAGCTGCCAGGGGCCCCAGGCTCAAAAGGAAGAGCTTTAGAGAGAGAACTTGGTCTGCAAAGCTGGGCAAGACAGGGCCTCAAACCCCGCAGGGGCAGTTGAGGAACAGTCCCCTTCCTGAGCCTCTCCTCTGCCCCTCAGGGCAGGTGTATTTGGTGCCTCGGTCTCCCCTACTCAGTCCTTTCTTGAATACCTTTCCCTACAGAGGGCATGGCCCACCTGGGGACCAAGGAGGCTAGTGTATGGGGACCATCTCCCTGTAGGACTAGGGGACAGCCGCCTCCCACCTTGCTTGGCTTCTGGAGAGTGGGACCTGTTCTTTCTTACTTTGCTTTTGAGGAGAGGGTTGCGTTTAAGCCAAAGGGAAAACCAGACTGGCTGCCTCCCTTGTCCATTGCCTTTGCCCTGAAAGGTTGGGAGTATCTGGTCCACCCCCTTCCTGGCAAGTCCCAAGGGCTGGAGAAGCGTCCTCCTGTCTGGGCCACAGCCAGTGCCAATATTGCTCACCCTGCACGGGAGGTCTGCTGCCTGGGCCCAGATAGTTCCATAGTTTCCCTAAACACAGTTGGCCTTAGCAAAGGGGTGGAAACAGGTCCAGGAATATTTGTGGGTCTCTCAGCTAAGGGACTGCCGCCCCCCACCCCCACCCAGCACCCTCACATGGGCTCACCCAGCAGACTGAGGCTGCTGGAGATGAGCTGTGAAGGGCTGTGTGGGGCACAGTGTGCGATTTGGAGCAGAAGGGAGGCTGCCCAGGCTGGGCCCCCTTTGGGCCATTCCAGAGGGCAAAACCAAGAGGGAACAAATCCGATGCAAAGGAAAGTGGACCTTCCCCAGGAGCAGCACAGGCAGTGGCTCTTCAAGGCTCCGGGAGCCCTTTGCAAGATCAGAGCCAAGTCACAGAGGGTCACAGAGCCCTGTGATGGAAGGAGTCGGGATTGAGCATGCTTTGCCTGTCTTTGCAAGGCCATTTCACCGACACTGAGGAGGTGAACTTCCTTGGGCTTTCGGTCACCGGGGGCTGGTGCCAGGGAACCACTTCTCAGTGAGAGGGTGGCAAGAGCACACTCCCCACTCATGATACCTTGGTCACTAATCCTGGAGCCCCTGCCAGACACAGTCAGGTCCACTGGAAATAAATCACCCCATGGATGCTGGTCGAGCTTTGCATGGTGACTTCGGAGTAGCCTGTAAGAGGTGTCAGATTTTTCGTTTTTTTAAAACTCAGAGTCAAATGAAACAGAGCTTGAAATGTCAGGAGACTCAGTGTTGTGGGCAGAGCCCAACTCCTGCGTAACCCCCAGCCTGCCCAACCCAAGCCAGAGCAGCACCCTTTCCTCCCTCCCCTAATGAGAACAGGCCTTCTGGAGACAGGCTCAAGGGAGGGTCCAAGGGAAAGGTGGACAACCCTCCAGGGAAGCCACAGGACCCACCAACCAGTGTCTCAGGACACACCCGGAACCAGTGCTCCTCTGTCAGGACATTAGTATTAAATGGAAGTTTCCTAGTGGTGAGGTTGGGAATGAAACAGATACAAAGGCATCCAGCGCAGGATCGGGTTCGGATTTCGGCATCTGAAGGAATCACAGAGCTGATCCTATTGAAATGACTCATCGTGCGGACAAGGACACTAACCACCAGAGAGGTGAAGGGATTTACCCAAGGTCACACAGCTAGTAAGTCAAGGCGAGGTTAGGCTTGAGTGCGGCCCCTCCAGCTCCTTGTCCAGTGTTCTTGCATCTCGCCCCAGCTGCCTCCTTTTAAACAGGTGTTACTTAACTCTGTCCTGCTGGTCACCCTCTGTACCCCTTTACCACTTCTCCCCCCCCCCCATCCC